TGTTCTGTGAGTGAAAATATATCTGTGCTACACTTAACCTCCAACTCACACACTGGCGAGTAAAATCTGAGAATTTATTAGCAATTGGCTAATATTAGACATCATTTAGTCGCGCAGAGTAAGATTTAGTCGCATATGCGAGTGATTTACTCGCAATGTAGAGGGTTGCACAGACACATTCAGGGGACACCAGGGACTTATATTACATATTGTAAAAAGGGGCATAATATGTCTCCTTTAAGATTATTCTATTTGTTAGGCTAGTAATAAAGAACAGTTGTTTTTACAAATTCATTCATAAATATCATGCATATTCAAAAATACATTAGTACATTTGCATTTCGGCCATCACAAACTGACCCCATCTTCCTTTTTCTAACATCAAAACAGAAACTGTAAATCAGTGAGTTGCGTCACTAGGTGAGCATGAATCATCTCGCTGCACGTCATCCGTACCTGTTATGAAATATAAACTGCAGACTATAATCTCAAATAACTGAACAGAAAACATCTCACTTTCCATCAACCAGTGATGCTTCATACTCTCAGAGAAATCCAGAGCAAACAGCCGTTATTTGTTATGTGGATGGATCACGGATGGATAGAGACAAGTACCAGAAACAAACAGCCGTATCTAATGATCCCCTGCACTTCCTCAAACACACACCATTGATCATCCAGAGTCTCTCAGAATAAATGATCACTGACACAATAAATCCCCACTATATAAAGCAGCTCTTCTCACGAAGCATTCACTCTGCTAACACTAATACAGTCACTGCATTAAACAGAAAGCACATGAGATGGAGAAAAGACAATAATTCATAACAGACTGCCTACCTCACTCGCTCGTCACACTAAGATCTGAAGCACAGCAGAAAATGAGAAATGAACTGCTGCTGCTTCAGCGCAGCCTGACTCACAGAGAGAGAGAGAGAGAGCGAGAGAGAGAGAGAGAGAGAGCCCAGCATGCTGGCAGACAGCATCATCATCATCACACCCGGTAACCATGGCAACCGCTGCACACCCACAGGCATTCACCGTCAGCTCCCATCGTTATATTCCCCATGACTCTCTCTCTCTCTTCTCATTGATCCATCAGTGTTTATCCATCAGCAGCCACACACCATCCAAACACTGCAGCGTTTGGGTCAAACGACATTACAGCACGAAACTACCGATTTACAACTGAATAAAAAAACAAGAACATTTTAAGGTTACTGCATATCCGTTTCCATGGTAACAGCAGCCTCTTTGATGGAGCTCTTTTCAGAGCTAATGGGTAATGTAGTTCTTCACTGGGAATTAGGTTATCACCCTTTATTTTAAATGAAGATAAAAATCCCTCTGACTTGAGGTTTCAACAGAAGTATGTATCATTTCAGAGCTCAAGGTAGGTCTGGGTTGAAAACTATACATTTTCAGTCATTTTCGATTTGCAAGCACTATTTTAAAGTGCAGACAGTACAATCATGTATTTAAACTCAATAGCAATGCGATACAGGGTTTTTTTTATAGAGTATTTGTTGTATATTGTGTTTGAATCGGTTTCTCTTAAAATCCCAGATATACACTGCCGTTCAAAAGTTTGGGATCAGTAAGATTTTTAATGTTTTTTTTAAAGACATTTCTTATGCTCATCAAGGCTGCGTTTATTTAATCAAAAATACAGAAAAAAAATTAAATTTTGTGAAACATTATTGCCATTTAAAATAACAGTTTTCTATTTTAATATACTTTAAAATATAATGTATTTCTGTGATGTAAAGCTGAATTTTCAGCATCATTGCTCCAGTCTTCAGTGTCACATGATCTTCAGAAATCACTCTAATATATTGATTTATTATCACTGATGCAAAGCTGAATTTTCAGCATCATTACTCCAGTCTTCAGTGTCACATGATCTTCAGAAATCACTCTAATATATTGATTTATTATCAGTGTTGGAAACAGTTGCGCTGCTGAATATTTTGGGGGGCCTGTGATACTTTTTTTCAGGATTCTTTGATAAATAAAAAGTTAAAAAGATCCGTGTTTATTCAAAATAGACATTTTGTGTTACATATACTATACTATTTAAAGGTTTCGGGTCAGTACATTTTTTCTTTAAAGAAATTAATAGTTTTATTCAGCATGGATGTGTTAAATGGATAAAAAGACTTATATTGTTAGAAAAGATTTCTCTTTTGAATAAATGCTGTTCTTTTTAACTTTTTTATTCATCAAAGAATCAAAGATAAAAGTATTGCAGGTTCCAACAAGAATATTCAGCAGCACAACAGTTCCAACACTGATAATAAATCAGCATATTAGAATGATTTCTGAAGATCATGTGACACTGAAGACTGGAGTTTTGATGCTGAAAATTCAGCGCTGCTTCACAGAAATAAATTACATTTTAAAATATATTCAAATAGAAAAGTTATTTTTAAATAGTAAAAATATTTCACAATATTACAGTTTTTTTCTGTATTTTTGATCAAATAAATACAGCCTTGATGAGCAAAAGAGACTCCATTAAAAAAACATTAAAAATCTTACTGATCCCAAACTACTGAACAGCAGTGTTTGCTCATTTTTAATATTTACACAGTTACATATAGATTAGAACAACACTGATAATAAATCAGCATATTAGAATGATTTCTGAAGATCATGTGACACTGAAGACTGGAGTTATGATGCTGAAAATTCAGCGCTGCGTCACAGAAATAAATTACATTTTAAAATATATTCAAATAGAAAAGTTATTTTTAAATAGTAAAAATATTTCACAATATTACAGTTTTTTTCTGTATTTTTGATCAAATAAATACAGCCTTGATGAGCAAAAGAGACTCCATTAAAAAAACATAAAAAATCTTACTGATCCCAAACTACTGAACAGCAGTGTTTGCTCATTTTTAATATTTACACAGTTACATATAGATTAGAAATATATTTTGTGTTGGTAAGTTGGCAGTGTGTAAACGCAGTAGACACACATTTTTTTTAATTAATTTTTTGCTTGTCCTGTTCAAACTTAAGATATACAATTGAAATAAATCGTTCCTGTTTACTGTTTTCATCCTTTTTGACCCATGTAAACAGCTTTAAAAAAAGACTCATTTTTATTTGGCCTTGTAATTTATTACTACCTCTTCATTGTACATAATCTAATAAGGGACAAAAAAACCTAAAAGCATGCAACCAATGAACTTTTGATGTTCAATAAGTCACAAAAAAAAAGAAAATATTTCATTCAATGGGTCATGAAACACTTTTAGATTTTAACAGTAACATATATGTTGCACATCATAGAACATTCGTTAATTTTATATTTAGGTTAAAGGTTAGGTTTAGGGTTTTTTTTTGTGGTATTTTCATCTTCCGTGGTAAATATTTAGATTGTGTCAACAGGATGTGACAGCCGTAGCGATTTCCTCTGACAGACACATCCAACTGTGAGAGACTGCAACCTTGTTGAGAGATGGTCAACAGTCACTGTTTCTGTGCAATCCATCTACCCTGCGAGCGATCAAATGGCTTATATTTGTGAAACACTTACAAATATTAATTAAGAGAGCAAAGAAGAGATGGGTTTTTTTGTCTTTTTTCCATGCAATGGTAATTTGAAGTGTTATTTATGGGATGTTTTTACCTCAAAATAAAAAAGATTGGTATTAAGGTGGTGTTGATGTGTCGTCGTCCCTCCATTTTTTCCCTTAAAGGAATAGTTCACCCAAAAATGAAATTATGCTGAAAATTTACTCTGGACTGGAGTGGTTTTTTATTTTATTTAGTCCCTTAACCGATTCGGCCGTCGGGGAGACATGAGGGAAGAAGTAGCAGACAATGCCCTCCATGATCTCTGTCTTGAGCAATCTTGAGGAGCTGTGGCAAGGGCCTGTCAGCCAACTCCATCAGATTGTCGGTCCAACTCTTCCTTTGACACCTTCCACTGTGCCCTGAAGAATGGTCTTGGATAGAGATGCACCGATTGCAATTGTCTTGGCCGATTCCGATTTCTCTAGTCTAGGAGAGGGTATTGTGGCGCGTCACATGGCCAACCCACTGGAGTTTCCGCCTCTTCACAATGGCCAGAAGAGGATCATGGGAGCCTACCAGGCTGGTGCATCTGTCCCGGACACAGTCATTGGTTTTTCGCTCTAAATAGGTAATGCCCATGAGCTTTCTGAGGCATTTGAATTCAAAGGCCTGAATCCTTCTCTCGTCTTCAGCTAGAAGTGTCCATGCCTTGGACCACCAATGACTTGAACAGGAGGTACTTTGTGCAAAGGTTGATGCTTTTGCTTCTAAAGATCTTTTGGAGCCTTGACATTACAGCAGTTGCTGTAGCAATTCTGATACGGATTTCTGCTGTGCAAGAGCCATCTTTGGATAATGTTGCTCCCAAGTATTTAAATCCTTCTACCTCTTCAAGCTTTTGTCTTTTTAGCCACATCCATAAGCTTTATTCAGTAACCATTCTTTTTTTAGAATAAACCGTCACATTTGCTATAAAATACACTTTTGTAATAGTTGTAATAAACAAGTTCTTAAATGTTACATATTTAGTACAAGTCCGAAAGTATACGGCTAAGTTTTAGCTTTGCTAACCGCTGGCGTCGCGTGAAGTTCAGTGGACTTCTCTGACACGGATCAGAAACTGAGAAAACACTGACCAAACGACGGGCTTATGTGAGAATAACAAATGAGCATGAAATGATAATATACTCTACTCACAGAAACGACAAGTTATTTACCTTCATTTCCTGCGCTTGTTTTGCTCGGGCTCGGTGTCAGTCAGACCAGTGTAATCGATACGTGAGCTCCTGAGCGTGCGAGACTACCGCGTGATCGTGGACGGATGAACGTTATCAGTCTAATATTTAAAATATATAAATTGAACACAAGCACTTTTTAAAATTGAAATATGGAATAGAGTTAAGTAAAATAATAAAATGGTAAAATAATTAATGGAAAAATAAATGGACATAGATAGCCTATATTTAAAACGTCAGTGATCTTTGAGCGGGAAATGATTGGTACAGTAAACACACATAGTATAATAAAGCATAAGTACTGTTGCGTTTTAGTACAGATTTGTGCAATGACTCAATCATAACCAGTGTTGGGGAAAGTTACTTTTAAAAGTAATGCATTACAATATTGCGTTACTCTATAAAAAGTAACTAATTACATTACTTAGTTACTTTTTATGGAAATTAATGCATTACGTTACTTTTGCGTTACTTTTTAAATCTGGACAGGGCTTGCTTGTTTGTTTTTTAAAATAAAAAATTTCTATTTTTGGCAAATATAAAAGCCTTTTCACACCAAAAGTGAAATGAATAAGCCTCAGGCTGAAGGGAAAAGTAAATTTACGTCCGTACAGTAGAATGCAGAAGAAGAAATATCAACACACTTCAGCAATAAAAAAAGACACACAAATGTTGTCTAGAGTAATTTGTGCTTATTAGTACGGTTGAACTGGATCATCGAAGGTCAGAAGCAAAGACATTGGTTAATAGAATGGGATAAAATTTGCGTTACTTATTTGAAAAAGTAACTCCGATATTCTCTTGTAAATTAAAAAGTAATGCGTTACTTTACTAGTTACTTGAAAAAAGTAATCTGATTACGTAACTCGCGTTACTTGTAATAATGCGTTACCCCCAACACTGGTAATGCATAACGTTATAACTACAGTTTCCTTCATGTAATTGGAATCAGAAACGGATTACAATTTGTAAGTAATCTACCCATCTCTGATCGCGACTGATTCGGTTTGAAAGGTTATTAATAGCATGAAGCCTATATGAAGTTATTGGCTCCTGTACGTGTCACTCAGAGCGAGAGAAAGAGAGAGAGAGAGAGAGAGAGTGTGTGTGTGTGTGTGTGTGTGTGTTCATGGGTAATGTGCGCGACAGGAGAGCACGCTTTCTTCTCATCTCCACACATTTTCGCAAGACTCGTGTGTGAAATGCGGCTTACACGGAAACGGTGGACTATCTGCACCATAAGCATCCTGCTGATATTCTACAAGACGACAGAGATGGGCAGAAATGAAGCGCATCAGAAGACAGGATTGACAGGGTGAGGGCTCTTCTGCTGTTACAGAATTACCTCTCCTCTTCTAATGAGCACCGAGTCTGATTATGTGCATCTCATTAAACGAGACATTCATTTATGTTCATTTATTTAATGGTTTGTTTCATAAACCTTCTATTGTAAACTATAGTTCACGAGCCCCGCTGTTGCTCCATCTCAATTAAATTAAGATCGATTCACAATCTGACTGTGCTTTGTTTGAGTCGAAATGGCCATTTTATTCTTACACCCCCTTGTGAAAAAGACGTGTAATTAATTGAATGTGCCATTGTAGTGATATTTTTATATAGCCTAGACTACTTTTAAGTATATTTTCATACACTTTTATATATTAATAAACTGTATTTGTAGATAATATTTCATTAATTAACTTAATAGAGTAGGCTACACTGTTTCTTAACACTTAAATCCGTCATTTTTAAAAGTGCCCTTTAAAATCATTATGTAACATAACAAATAGTAGGCTAATAACATGACAAACAAGTTTCAGTAGAAACAACATATTTTAGTTACCATAAATGCTCCTCAGTGCATTCAGCAGTAGGTTACATTATGACAATGCTTACATGAAATTACATAGCATATAAAAGTAAAAAAAATAAAATAATTTCTAACTAATTGCAATAACATGCAATTTAGTGTCAGAAAACATTACATCCAGGTTGCACTTATATATATATTTTTTAATTAGTAGTGCTGTTTAAGAAGTACGCTAAAATGTATAAAAGGCCTACATACCTACATTCACTTTTCACTTTTTTTCTTGGCACACTTTCCTGTCATTGACATTTCAAATCTTTGCATCAGTAAATCTATTATTATAATGCTTAAACATAAGCGTGTGTCAAAAAAACTCTTGAAATGGAGTTTTGTGTACGTTTTATCCGGATGTTTTAAGTTTGAAATGCAAGGTAAATTTAGATGACTCACTGAAAAACTTGCACTTGTTTTGTTCCAGGAACTGAAAAAAATGTGGTCAAGTTCATACTTGCTCATAATCGGCTTCACTTTAGCATACACGCGCACAGCATTGGGCAATTTTAGTTTTTCACCACAGCTGAGTTAATGAACATAGAACATGCACTTTTCAGGTGACTTTGTGATTTTGCTTCTGTGTGTGTGTGTGTGTGTGTGTGTGTGTGTTGTTGGGTAAGTGAGAGGACAGCAGACAGCTTCTGCTCATCAGATGTGGTTTCCTTTAGTTTCTTGCAGATTCGTTGCGCATGATTTAAAAACAGAAGTGGAAAAATGTAAGAGTAAATGTCAACTGCTTCTGAAGTTAAGTCTGCTGTTAGGTTTCGATTTGATTTCATATGATATAAATCTTTCGATGCCTTGCAGAGACAGTATATCTGTAGATCTGTACAAACTCGCCTCTCAAAGAAAAAAAAAAGTTTGTTAAAAAGTGAATAACAAGAACTTTTAGTATATTTTCTTACTTATATTTGTTTTTCAGTACAAGTATGCAAAAATTTAATCAAGATACATTTAGAAGCAAAATTACATACTATAAGTGTCGTTCTCTAAAAAATTATTAAACTTAAGTTTATGAGTTTATGTTTACAAAAAAATACAAAAATCTGCCAATAGGGTATGAAAAATAACCTTCAATTAAGTTTTTTTCCCCTTTTTTGTTACCCCATTAATTTTCAAATTTATCTTGGTTTAAGAATATTTAGGTATTTGTACTGGAATTATTATTATTTTTGGCTGTGTAATGATGTAACGGTGTGGTGGATGAAGGATTGTAAGAGGTGTAAATCTATACACAAAATGTATTTATTCATGAAAACAAAGCTCAGGAACACAGGACTGTTACAAAACACAGACAAAGCAAAACAAGACTGGACAAATGACAACTGAAACACAATATACTGGATAATGAGAACAAGAAGCAGATGTGCACCAGGGTTATTAAGGTTAACTGAAACTAAAACCAATAATAAAGAAACATTTTCATTACTTGAAATAAACATGAATTGAAATAAATGATTAAAAATCACTTATTTCATTTCAGCTATATTTCTAATTTAGGTGAAGTACTAAAATATCTAAAACTTTAACTAAAATTTAAATTGAAACAGGAAAATATAAAAATAAAGGTAACACTATTTTAAGGACCAGTTTTCACTAGCATGCATATTACTAGCATATTGGTTGTTTATTAGTGTTTATAAAGCACATATTCTGCATGACCACCCAATACTTCAACTTAACAACCACCTTACTAACTATAAATAAGCAGCTAATTAGGAGTTTAGGGAGGCAAAAGTCGCTGTTAATAGTGAGAATTGGACCTTAAAATGAAGTGTGACCAAAATCTAATTCAAAATATTAACAATATCAATATCATTGATACTAAAATAACACTGATATGCACAATCGATGACCAAGAAAACCAATCAAAAATAAATACATAAATACAATAAAAAAGAAGACACATACAAAATACAAATTAAAGAGGCCACAACTGCCTCAAAATAAGAGTCCTTGGAGAAAAATGAATGCCTGTGACAAATGCCCTGGTCTCTGGAAAGAGGTTTGGTTGAGTGATATTTATCTGTTATTAGATTAGTCTGATGGCAACATGTCTTAAACGAACTAATTTATTTATGTATTTATTTAGATAGATGATGGATGGATGGATTGATGGATGGATAGAAAACGAAGCGTTTGAGAGAGGCGGGGCATATTCTGTTACACCAAATACACAAAATAATGATCTTTAAAAAAGCATCATATGACCCCTTTAATGAGTATTGAATCATGAACACAGTGTCGAACCCAACAGAATTATCAGCACTTGTGCGAATAGTTACTATGCCACATTTCTATTTGAACAGGAAGTCTGAGCCCAGTTCTACTAGACTGATGGCCAACGGCTCCGAGAAACTGTTCGGCTTTAGTTTAAGTGATCTGAGTGACATGGGAGTGGGATGGAAGATCAATGCCACCCTTGTGACCATCATAAGGTGAGTAACCTGCACGAATTTAAAAATGCATACAGCACATAAAGCACAGATTCAAGAGGGACGAGTATTAGAGATATTGAGTGCTATGACTCGCTCAGAGCATGACTTCATAGGGTCATTTTTAGAGCATGTTTGGATGGTATGGTTATGAACTAATGAGTAATCTATTGTCCTGATGTGCTTCAACATGTGGAAGGAAGGACGTGCTTCGCTTCTTGGATGCGGAGAGAGATGTGTCTGTTATCAAGAGCAGTTTCAAACCGGGCGATACCATCCACTACGTTCTGGACCGGCGCAGGACATTCAATGTTTCTCAGACTCTACACAGTTTACTTCCCGAAGTCTCTCCACTAAAGAACAAGACGTTCAAGACCTGCTCTGTGGTGGGGAACTCAGGCGTTCTCCTGAAGAGCGGATGTGGGAAGGAGATAGACAGCCATGGTTTTGTTATACGGTAAAGTACTTACTTCTTTGCGGTGATCTAATCATTACCGTCTTATGGCAAGGCATGCAGTCTAACAAGGTCTAATGGTCATTTATCTCTCACTGTATCAGTGTTTTCCCGCTGGTAACTTGGCTTGAATACTATTTGATCCCATTTTTGGAAATCTGAACCAGGAACAAAAGCTCAAAGTAATTTAGAGCTTCACGTGACTTGTGCATTCTGTAGTACTGCAGTATTTTCACTGTTATCACCCCAAAATGAAAACCTCACATCATGTCTTTCTAAGCCAGTGTTTTTTTGTTGTTTTTTTG